GGTTCCTGTGTCCAGTTTGAGGCTCCTGTGTCTAGTCTGGGGTTCCAGTGTCCGTGGAGATCAGGTCAGCTCAGCTGGGAGCTGCTGGTGGCGCAGCTCTGGTGGCCCTGCAGCAGCTCAGGGGACTGGTCAGACTGGTCAGAGTGGTCAGAGAGGTCAGACTGGTCAGAGTGGTCAGGTCAGAGTGGTCAGAGTGGTCAGAGAGGGCAGGTCAGAGTGGTCAGAGTGGTCAGGGCAGACTGGTCAGAGTGGTCAGAGAGGGCAGGTCAGAGTGGTCAGAGTGGTCAGGGCAGACTGGTCAGAGTGGTCAGAGAGGGCAGGTCAGAGTGGTCAGAGTGGTCAGGGCAGACTGGTCAGAGTGGTCAGAGAGGGCAGGTCAGAGTGGTCAGAGGGGTCAGAGTGGTCAGGTCAGACTGGTCGGACTGGTCAGAGTGGTCAGTGGAGCTGCCCCCTGCAGCAGGGCTGGCTGGAACAGGCTGTGGCTCCTCAGGGATCAGGGAGCTCTCACGGGGCAGGGCTGGGCTGGGACAGGGCGAGCTCTCCCCACACCAGACCCATTCCTGTGGGCTTGGGTGGGATTTGGTGACTGATTTTAAGCACAGACATTTTCTGCTGAGCTCTGCCAGGCTGGGGCAGTGCCAGGAAAACAAACAACCCAGGGAGAAGCTGTTAAATCAGTTGTGTAGGTGCAGTGGAGGTGGCAGAGGAGGAAAGGAAAGCTTTAGCAGAGATGGTCCTGCCTGGGCTTCATTCCTGGGGGAGCGTCCAGAGTGTGGCTCTGGGTCCTGTCAGGGCACTGCTGGGGATGTGGGCACAGCTCAGGGCCTGGGCAGGGCTCTCCTCCCCACCCTGGGGCTTCCCGGGAATGGGAGGGATTCCATGTGATCCCTGCTGTTCCCAGGCTGGGAGGGACTGTGGAGCATCAAATCATCAAATCCCACAGGGGTTTGGGTTGGGAGGGACCCCAGAGCCCCTCCAGTGTCACCCCTGCCATGGCAGGGACACCTCCCACTGTCCCAGTGTCCAGCCTGGCCTTGGGCACTGCCAGGGATCCAGGGGCAGCCCCAGCTGCTCTGGGCACCCTGTGCCAGGGCCTGCCCACCCTGCCAGGGAACAATTCCTGCCCCAAATCCCATCCAGCCCTGCCCTCTGGCACTGGCAGCCATTCCCTGGCTCCTGGCCCTCCAGCCCTTGTCCCCAGTCCCTCCCCAGCTCTCCTGGAGCCCCTTTGGGCCCTGGAGGGGCTCTGAGCTCCCCCAGAGCCTCCTTTTCTCCAGGCTGAGCCCCTTTCCCAGCTCCCTCAGCCTCTCCTGGGGCTCCAGCCCCTTCCCAGCTCCGTTCCCTGCCCTGGACACGCTCCAGCCCCTCCAGGGCTCTCCTGGCAGGAGGGGCCCAGAGCTGCCCCCAGCACTGGAGGTGCCCCAGCAGTGCCAGCACAGGGGACGGGCACTGCCCTGGCCCTGCTGCCACCCCAGAGCTGGCACAGCCCAGGGCCAGTGGCCTCTTGCCCACCTGGGCTTTGGGAGGGGAGGAATTCCTGCTCAGGGCTGTGCTGGTCCCGGTGTCACTCCCAGCAGGGTGGCAGAGGCTGTGTCCCTGCCTGGGGACAAATCTCACCTGCCTGGCCTCGCTCCTGTCTGCAGCAGAGTGGCTTAAAAACCAAACAAGAACCCCTCCAAGACTGGTGGAAAGATGGATCTGCCTCCACTCCTGGCTGGGACGGGAGAGCTGCCCCCTGCCCAGGGGGAACTGCACAATTGATTTCCATTTGTTGCCCCACAGGCCTCAGCCCAGTACAACACGGGTTCTTTTTTGGGAAAAAACCTCCACACAACCTTGAGTCCTTCTGGAGCCCATCCTCAGCTGACCCCAAACCTGCTCTGGGGCTCACCCAGAGCCTGCAAGCTCTGGGGGTGCTTTGATGTTTATCAGAGCAATCTTACCCAGCCAGGGAGTTCTTGTTTGCTTTTTCCCGGGATTCCAGGGGCTGCTTTCCCTGGTGCTCTCTGTGGCAGCTGCAGGTGGAGCTCCCCCCTGGCTCAGGAGGTGGCTCTGGAGCTCTGGCTGTGCTGGGGGGTGGCTGGGCTGGGCTCTCACAGCGTGTCTCTGCAGTGGGATGTCCCCTCGGGGTCAGGAGGTGACTCTGGAGCCCTGGCTGTGGTGTGGGGTGGCTGGGCTGGGCTCTCACAGCATGTCTCTGCAGTGGGACGTCCCCCCTGGCCTGCCTGAATGCCATGCTGCACACCAACTCCCGTGGTGAGGAGGGCATCTTCTACAAGGTCCCGGGCCGCATGGGCGTCTACACCCTCAAGGTGAGTGCTGAAAAAAGCCTTGGATTGGGATCCCAGAGTCCCTGAGGGCAGAAAAGCCCAGTGGGATTGTCCAGTCCGAGCTGTGCCAGATCCCCTCCTTGTCCCCAGCCCTTCCTTGGGCATCTCCAGGGGTGGGGACGCCAAACCTCCCCTTCCAGGATCACCCTTTCCATGGGGAAATTGCTCCTGGTGTCCAGATTATCCAGGATAATCCCAAAAGGGGACAGTTCCTCGCTGGCACCATAAAGGATCCCTCCCTCCTCAGCTGAGAAGGTGCAGCTGCAGATGCTCCCCATTACCCACAGGGCAGTTTGCTGATGCCAATTACTGTCCCAGAAGTGAAAGTCATTAAAATGTTAATGAAACTCCAGCTCTTAAAGGGTAATTTCACTGCTCTCAGCTTGTGTCTAGAGATGAAAAGTCACCTTGTCCTCAGTGTCAGCCACAGAGGGAATAATGGGGAATTGTCTGATTGGCATCATTACAATTAAACTGTGTTTTAATTACTGGAGGGGAGCTGGCTCACACCATTCCTGATTTGGTGTGGATTTGTCTCTGGAGCCCCTCCAGTGTCACCCCTGCCATGGCAGGGACACCTCCCACTGTCCCAGTGTCCAAACTGGCCTTGGGCACTGCCAGGGATCCAGGGGCAGCCCCAGCTGCTCTGGGCACCCTGTGCCAGGGCCTGCCCACCCTGCCAGGGAACAATTCCTGCCCCAAATCCCATCCAGCCCTGCCCTCTGGCACTGGCAGCCATTCCCTGGCTCCTGGCCCTGCAGCCCTTGTGCTGGAGTTGGTGGTCAGGGATGGGGAACTCGGGGAAGGGCAGCTGAGGAGTCACAGGGAGGTGACAATGGGGACAGAGTTCAGGACGTGTCACCCACGCTCGGCGTTTCCAGGCACTCCCCGAGGGCTCTGGGGGAGCTGTGGGGCACTGACAGGGCCACAGTCGGTGCTGGGCGATCAAAGCCCGCCTGATTTGGGGGGTTTTGTCTCTGGGGTGACGCTGGTGTGGCTCTGTGGTGTCCCCTGGCAGAAGGACGTCCCGGACGGGCTGAAGGAGCTGTCGGGCTCTGAGGAGAGCAGCGATGGCCACTCGGACTCGCAGAGCTCGGAGCACAGCAGCTCCAGCAGCGACGGCTGCGCCAAGGACGGCAGGAAGAGCAGGTGGAAAAGGAAAGGTGAGTTCACCTCTGGGGAGAGGAGCTTGAAGCTGCTCCCTGCGTGGGAAGGACTCGCTGGGGTTTGTCCTGCACACCTGAGAGCGACCCCAGCTGAGCTGGGCTGCTGCTGCTGCAGCTGGGGTGGCCCGAGGAGCGCAGGGAAGGGGACAGGTACCCCTGGCACTGCCCAGGAACTGCCAGGCTGCTCCTGCCAGGCTTTCCCTGCCATGTCCTGCATCCTGCAGGGGAGCTGCTGCCTCTGGAGGGTTTGAGCCCGAGCTGGCTCCTCTCCCTCGTGAGCCAGGCAATATTTGGATATTGAATCCTGGCAGTGTTCACCCTGCAGTCCACTCCTTTCCTGCTTCCTTCTCCCCTCACTCACGCACAGAATTCCTTGGCTGAGGCAGGACATTATTTTAAAAGTATTTCCAGTGCCCTGGGACTGCTGGGTGGGGCAGAGGGGTCCCAGAGCTGTCCCAGAGCTGCCAAACCCTGCCCAGGGGGGGTCACCTGGGCCAGCCCCACCCAGAGCTGCCCTGCAGCCACACCAAACTGTGTTATGTGGAGTTGTAAGCACTGAAAGCACCAGCAAAGTACAAAATGGGGAAAAAAAAAACCCTTAGAAATTAAACTTGACTCCAAATCCATCCTTTGACAGGAAAGCTTCAGACTGGATGAAATATTCTCATTTTTAACAAATTCTCTCGAAATATTTGGTCAATAAGGGGGATTCTGGCTGCTTCTCCTACATCTCCAATGTTCCAATATTAGCTAAAAGCTTGTGAGGGAATTTATGTATATTTTAGAGAGATCTTTGTGTAGAAATACATGTAGAGATTTGAGATATAAATTTTATATTGCACATTACCAAGGGGCTGGAAAGGAAGGAGGAACCCAGGTGAGAAAGAATGGAGATGGTCTCTCCATCTTCCCCTGAAACAGCTGCCAGAAGTGCCCAGAACAAGACAATGTGGAAGTAGAAATATAAAAAAGGGGGATTGCTCCTCTCTGAGCTCTGGTTCTGATGGTTTTTCCTGGACTGGCATTTAGGCTTTTGGCACAAAGTCCTGTTTTTTGGGGGTTAATGCTCTGAAGGTGGTGAGCACCCAGTGATGGATGAGTTAGATGTGGTGGGGAAGCAGAGGAGCAGCTGTGGTCACTGGGGTTCCTGATGTGTCCCTTCTGAGCGTGGTTCCTGTGTGAGCAGCTCTGCAGGCTGGATGCACATCCCACATCCACTCACTCCAAGGAATTCCCAGCTGGCCCTGGCCTTCTCCTCCAGATCCCTCTCAGAATTCCATGAAGAACAATGTGTGGAACAAAGCAGGGCTGGCTGCTCTGGGCCAGGGATTCCTGGAGCTGCAGCTCCCTCCCTCCCCTGGGACTTTGTCTCCTGTGTTTCCTCTCCTGAGCAGTTCCCTGAGCCCTTCCAGAGCCAGGGGACAGCATTCCATGTGGATTTACCTCCCAGGCACTGACCTCCCCCATCCCCCAGTGCAGGGTTGAGAGCAGCCCTGCAGAGGCTGGGAACGGTCATCAGTGTCCAGCTCCTGCCAGGAGAGCCCTGGAGGGGCTGGAGCGTGTCCAGGGCAGGGAACGGAGCTGGGAAGGGGCTGGAGCCCCAGGAGAGGCTGAGGGAGCTGGGAAAGGGGCTCAGCCTGGAGAAAAGGAGGCTCCGGGGGGACCTTGTGGCTCTGCACAAGTCCCTGCCAGGAGGGGACAGCCAGGAGGGCTCGGGCTCTGCTCCCAGGGAACAGGGACAGGACAAGGGGAAATGGCCTCAGGCTGGGCCAGGGCAGGCTCAGCTTGGACAGCAGCAGGAATTTCTGCCTGGAAAGGGAGCTCAGGCCTTGGCAGGGGCTGCCCAGGGAGCTGCTGGAGTCTCATCCCTGGAGGTGTGCAGGGAATTCCTGGATGTGGCACTCAGAGCTCTGGGCTGGGGACAAGGTGGGGATCAGGCACAGCTGGGGCTCCCTGGGCTGGGAGGGATTTTCCAACATCAGGAGTTCTGGGATTTTGTGAAGTTCAGTCTGTGCCTGAAGCATTTTTAAATTCAGATGGCTGTGAATGACCTTCTTCAGGCACTCAGTGACATTTTGGGGTCATTTTCAGCAAGTGGAGCCCCCAGGGCTCTGCACTGGAGCAGCTGTGCTGGGAGCAGAGTCCTGGCGTGGGCACAGAGCTGTGCTGGCCGTGCCCAAGGCCAGGCTGGACAGGGCTTGGAGCCACCTGGGACCATGGAAGGTGTCCCTGGCCATGGCTGAGGGTGGCACTGGGTGGGTTTTAAGGTCCCTCCATTTCAAAGCAGCCTCTGTAAAGTCTGCAGGGAAGATTTTCTTTTGGTTTCACTGTTTCATTTCCTTTATCCATCTGGAAGGGTTCTTTCCATTTCCTCCAGCAAACACTGCAGCTTCACGATCTTGCTCCTTACAAAAATCAACATTCAATGTCCAGGAAGTTGCCAGGAAGAGCGGAATTGAAGCAGAAAATGGGCTCAGCTCCATCCCAGCCATGGTTCATCACCTTGTGCTGCAGTCAGGGATGAGGGGAAGTGGAAATGAGGGAATTGCAGCCCTGGGAGCCCCTGGCAGTGACCATCCCAACTTCCATCCTGACTTTGGGGCACCAGGAGAGGCAGGGCTGGTGCTGACCCTCAGGGTTCCCCTCAGCCTTTTCCTGCTGCTTTTATTTTCTCTCGTCCATTTGTTCACTGGTTTTAACCGGCAGGGCATTGCGTTCCAGTGAGGAGGATCCCCCTGGAGCATCAGCCCTGGAGTGCAGCTCTCCTCCAGGGCCACTTCCAGGCACATGGAACACACAGAAACCTCCTTCCTCATGAACAAAATCCTGAATCTGGGGGTTGAAGCGGAGAACACCCCAAAGGCAGCCTGGGCTGTGAGCGTGGGGCAGCAGCATCCCCCAGCCTTTGGGGTCCGGCCCATCCCGAGGCTTGGTGGGAAGCAGTGCTCAGACAGGGCACAGCTGGTTGTTCCTGCTCTGGGGAGCAGAGTTAGGCTGTGAGAGGAGGGGATGGGGGCAGGAGGCACAGTGGGGCAGGCAGGAGCTGCCCCGAGCCCTCCGTGACAGGAGGGCTGCGCTCATCCCCAATAAAACAGGAAGCGTGTCCGGATAACATCGGCAGCCACTTCCTTATATGAGCAAAAACAAAGTGCTCTGGCAGCACAGAGCAACTCCTGGATTTTGGGAGGGAGAACGGAGCCCTCGGAGCCTCTGCAGAGCCACATGGGCCCCGAGAGGGGCCGGGAGCAGCGGGAACGCTCAGGGAGCGGCTCCGGGCAGTGCCCCGTGCAGGTAAGGGCAGAGCTGGGGCACAGCTCCCCTGGCAGGGCCTTTTGGGGCCTCCCTGTGCCCATTGGGGTGAGACTGACCCCGTGCCTTGGCTCTGGAGGTGGAGCAGCTCCAGCCTCGCTGGAGCTCGGTGGTACCAAACTGTGCGGGTGGAACCACCCCAGAGCGGCACTGGGTGGAGATGGGGAACAATCCCTGCATGGAAAAGCTGCTCAAAGCCTGGCACAGCTGCCCAGGGCAGGGATGGAGTGCCCATCCCTGCAGGAATGTGGAACCCTGTGGATGTGGCACTGGGGACAGGGCTCAGTGCTGGCCTGGGCACTGCTGGGGATGGTTGGGCTCCAAGGGCTCTTCCAACCCAAACAATTCCATGATTCTCAAAGGATGCTGCTGGGACTCCTGCCGTTCTGGGGTGTTTTAAGCCATCCTGGAGGTTGAAGTGTGCAGAAGCCTCCTTCACCTGGCTCCAGGGCTGTGTGGGAGCAGCTGCAGGAGGTTTGTGGTGGTGATGAAGCTGCAGTCATGGGGCTCATCCAGCAGAACCCAGCTCGAGTTTCCGTGTTAAATAAAAAGGGGAGGAAAACAAGAGAATGTAAAGCCAACCTTAAGGGAAAAGGGGAAAATGAGCTAGGGCAGATTATGGATAATCCTTCTCCATTAGGCAGTGATCAGCTTGGCTTGAGTCTTTGTACAACTGAGGAGCCCCTCCTGGCTCCCAGAGTTCTGTTTGACCAGCTGGGTGTTCAAAGTCTCTGTATTTGGCGTCTGTGAAAAGTCAGGTACCGAAAACAGACTGGAAGATTTGGGCAAGGTTAAAATAGATCCGAGCAAGAGCTCGTGGGGCAGAGAAGTGAAACACCTGCAGTGGTTAAAGGCTGCTCTGTGCTGCCAGTGCCCTGTGCTTGGCAGAGCAGGAATAAGGGATAAAACACCCTCCTGAACTGGACATTTTTGCATTATCCTTTGGCACAGAGGAAGCCCTGGGAGCCAGGGAAGTGCCAGGTCACAGCTGGAGGGTGGCACCTGCTTTACTGGGGCAGCTTCGTGTCCTCCGAGGGCCAGGCCCTGCCCAGAGCAGCTGCCAGCAACAGGAGGTGAAAAGGATTCTGTTTTGGTTCTGGCACTTTGTTTCTTCCTGCTGAAGACTGGGTAGAAACATCAGCTTTTCTAAATGCAGCAATTCCTGCACAATTCCTTCAGGGGAAGCTTCCTGAGGATCCCCTGGTGCAATCCACCCGGGATCTGCACTCACAGGAACGGCCTCGTCCTCTGCTTTTGGATCAGTGGAGCTTCTCTTCAGCCCAGGGAGCCCCAGCTGTGCCTGATCCCCACCTTGTCCCCAGCCCAGAGCTCTGAGTGCCACATCCAGGAATTCCCTGCACACCTCCAGGGATGAGACTCCAGCAGCTCCCTGGGCAGCCCCTGCCAAGGCCAGAGCTCCCTTTCCAGGCAGAAATTCCTGCTGCTGTCCAAGCTGAGCCTGCCCTGGCCCAGCCTGAGGCCATTTCCCCTTGTCCTGTCCCTGTTCCCTGGGAGCAGAGCCCGAGCCCTCCTGGCTGTCCCCTCCTGGCAGGGACTTGTGCAGGGCCACAAGGGCCCCCCGGAGCCTCCTTTTCTCCAGGCTGAGCCCCTTTCCCAGCTCCCTCAGCCTCTCCTGGGGCTCCAGCCCCTTCCCAGCTCCGTTCCCCGCCCTGGGCCACGCTCCAGCC